CCCATGGCGAGAACTTCGCGCCAGGCTTAGGTCAGGCATGTCCTCCTACAGAGGGATTTTGGACGAACAATTTGAGAAAGTCAGACAGTACTCCACATGGGCAGAAACAACCGACAAATCATCCCCAGACTATCTTTGAACATCCCCCCCGTAGAGGGACACGCCCGACCTCACGCCAGGGGCTCTCTGCGGGCCCTGGGGACCCGCCCGGACGCACGCGGATGCGCTCTCACGGGCCCACGGGGGGCCCGCGGCCGGTCTGTCCGCGACGCGTCGCCGATTCCAGGTCGATGTTCTCCGCCCCCCCCCCCTTGACGAGGAGGGAGGGAGGAGGAGGAGAAGGAGGAGGAGGAGGAAGAGGCCCAGAGCGGGCCCCCAGAGTGGCGCGCTCGAGACCTCGACGCGCACGGGCGCCCGCGCCGCCGCCGCCATCGGCGCGGCGCGACCCTGCCCCGACTGCGGCGGCCCCGACGCCCGGCCTCTGGGCTGCCGCCGGGACACGGGCACGAGAGCGCGGGCCAAGATCAAGTCGGGCACCTCCTCCTCCTCCTCCTCCTCCTCCTCCTCCTCCTCCTCCTCCTCCTCCTCCTCCTCTACAGGGGGAGTTTTCAAGAAGATGGTCAGGCAATGGTCAGGGGACGATGCTTCGATCACACTGTGGTTATGTCGGTGCACGGTTCGAGTATGTTTGATTTTTGGCTCAAAAGCCGCCTGTAGGTGGATTTCCCCGATGTAGGGCTAAGAGCAGGGGAGCCTCTTGTACCCAAGGCCCAGGGCGCCTCGGACACGCCCAGAGCGAGGAGCAGTCCAAGGGGGAGAGCCAGGTCGCGAAGAGCGTACAAGAGCATCGATCCAAGAGATGGGCTGATCTTCCCAGTCGGACCTGGGAACACCCCTCGAGAACACGAGACCCTCCGCCGGCCAAACCACGCAGAGCATCGGGTAATTACCCTCCCTGGATGCACAAGAAAGGGCATCCCCGCAGGTTCGTGTCGCGTCGACCCCGGCCTTGGTTCCTGACACCGCGGGGGTCGGTCAACCTTGAACGATCGGACGTTTCCGAAACGTTAGATCTCTCGGGGATCTGCTGACCTGGCTCAATCCAGACCCGGGTCAGTCAGGCCTTGCAGGATCCTGCAAGATCCTGAAAGATCCTGCAGGTTCCTGCACCCAAGCCTGGGTCAATGCAACCCTGGCTCTGAAGGATCCTGCAAGATCCCGCGCTCTGGCTGACCCCCGTTTGCATTGACTCCTGTCTCAAGGCTCCCGAACATCGACCGATTCTGGGTCGCTGGCGGCGTTCAGCGTTGAACGCCGACGGCGGGGTCGCTGGCGGTCGACACGACGCGAACCTACCAGAAGAGTATCGATCCAAAAGTTGGGATGATCCTGCAGTAGGGGCTGGACCACAAGGAATCTTCCACAAGAAACCCAACCCTGAGACCCAGGGACGTGCACTGATTTTAGATGTGGGAACGCCACGCTTTCCATAGCAAAACCATCGAAACCCAAGAAACCCAGGGCACCCTGGAGGCACGCAGGGTGCTTCTTGGCATGGGTTCCCGCTGTATCGATCCAAAAGTTGGGTTAATCTTACCTCTCGCGCCAGCTGTTCCAGAATGGCGAGAGGGGTGCAAAAAGGACGTCGAGTCGCGGCGTAGGAGGACTGGACATCGAAGGCCCCTGGCCCTGGCAGGAGCAGTCAGCACCGAATCGAGGAGTCGGATCGGATCGGAGCAGGCGTCGGTCGAATCGAGCCGCAACGGCACAGGGTCAGAATCGAATCGGATCCGTCGCGCCAGGGAAGCACAACAGCGCCATGCGAGCATCGTGCCGCATCGCATCGCCGGATCATAGGAACCGAAGCGGATCGGGCCGGCCAAGATCGGTATCGACTCGACTCGGATCGACCAGGTCGAAGTCTGAGCATTTTCATAGGGTGGAGGGCCTAAGGTGAAATCCATGTGGGCTTTTGAACCTCGAAAACCCATCCGTATTGTGTTTCACCTTCTGCAGATTCAGGCACCGAAAGTCAATCGAAACGGCATGAAGATGCTCGGGAAGTGGGCCCTCTGCCAGGGCCGCCCCGAGAGGCCCACGGCCCTGGCGGCCCTCCCCTGCGCAGCGCAGCCGCGCAGCCCTCTGCCCGCGCGCACCCGTGGAGCCTCAGCACCCCGTCGTACTCGCGCTCCAGCCGGAGCGCCCGGAAGGCGAGCACGTAGGACCTCCCAGCCGCCCAGGAGGGAGGCAAAGGGAGGAGAGACGAGAGAGGCCCGCTGCCCAGAGATCCGACGCTCCAAAAAAAATGGGGCGGCGGGAATTTGGCTATTCTCGGCCTCCGGGGGCCCTCGCAGGGCCTCGGGAGCGTCAAAAAACGGCTCGGGAAGAAAAGCCCACCTCGGGGAAGTGGCCCAGACCTCTGGGGCCCGCGCACCCAAAAAATTGTAGCGGCCAGGTATATGGGTAGATGCGCTCGCGCTACATCCGACATGCTGCATGTGGGTGTCGTTTAACCGATCCCCATCCCCAGCGACGTGACCTGGGCCCCACTGGCCGATTTACCCCCCTAGATGGGGATGTAGGTCGTTCCTTTCGGGTTTCGAAGGGTGTATCCCCAACTGGGGTGGTAATTTGGTGGGGGTCTCGACGGGGATGGGGATGGGGATTGGGATCGGTTAAACGATACTGAGCATGGCCTCCCCATCTCCGCCCCTTGCGCCGATGTGCTCTCTCTATCCGCGGGCGCGTGTCCTGGCCGACCTGGAGCTCTGAAGGAGACCCCGACCGTGCCAGGCGCAACCAGAAGTGGGGGACGGCGTACACGGGAGGAGGAGGAGGAGGAGGAGGAGGAGGAGGAGAAGGAGGAGGAGAAGGAGGAGGGGTTGGCGGGTGAACAGCAGGATGAGCAGAAGGGAAAGCAGAGGAAAAAGGAGCATGTGGAAGGAGGAACTTGAATCGGAGTGAAAGGAGTTGGTATTGGAATCGGAGTCGAACAGCAGCAGCAGGAACTGGAGTGGAAGGTCCGAGAGGGGCAGGAGGACCAAAGAGAGGCGGAGGAGGGAAAATGAGGGGGTCGACAGCGATGAACAAGGGATCCAGGAAAGTTGCCAGCGCTGGGGCGAGAGCGCCGTTCTGAACGACGGGAGCAAAGCGCCGATCCTAAAAGGAGGCACACGTTGCAGCGGGGGCATCATGCTGTAACACCGAAAACAATCGGACTGACAAATATACATCCGAAAAGTCAATACTTGAAATCCTCTGCGTCAGCAGAAAGGCGCGGAGAGAACGGGCCACCTTCTGGCTGGCGACAGGGGAGAGAGGAGAGCAGTATTCGCCCCTACAAGTGTTCACTTCCACTGAGGGAAGTGCCCCATTGGGAGACAACAGTTTGAAAATCCTGAAGCGCGCCGAAACACCAGTCTCGGGACTCCAACGCCACGAATCAACGTGCATGTTGGGGGTTGACGAGCCTGATTCATGCCAGAGAATCATTCCTGGGACTTCAACACCGCGAAAAAACTGTTGCGCCCTGACAATTCTCAATAATTCCCAACACAATTTCTGCGACGCTGGCCGTGGGAATCCGTCAAACCCTTTCAAATTTCAAGAAGACGAATGTCCGCCGCGCTAATGCGAGAACCGCATTTCGTGCAGGGAACGCCCTCAATGAGTGAAGTTCTTGTGAACGTTTAAAAAGAATGCGCGCGGCGAATAGGCGAGAGCCACATGTTGAAAACGACCCACCATCTATCCGTGAAACTCTTGTAATTTGTTAGAATGAATGTGCGCGGCACTGGCGTTGGCAGGACTGGGTTGCGTGGGACCTGGTTTGATAAAGTGTACCGAGGGACGCCCCCCGCGCCCCATTCCACTAACCGTAACTGCCGTCACCTGAAAAACAGAAGCTACGGCAGACCTAGTTTAGTGATTCCAATCCATATCGTGGGTTTCGGGACCCAATCACCAACCTCGGCGGCGAGCCCGGGGGGGAAATGAGAAGGGGCGGGCCTTGTCAGGAGGCTCGGAACTCCCCCGGCCTTCTGAGAAGTTTTCTGAGCCTTCCCCGAGGACGCAGCAAACTTCTCAGCAGGCGCGAGGGCTTCTGAGAAGTCCCGCCGTCGTCTGACAAGGCCTTCTCCGTCTCAATGCCCCCTCGCTCGCCGCCGAGAACTGGTTCCGCTTAGCCGGGATCCTTGCTACACTTAGGTCGGGCATGTCATCCGACAGGCGGGTTTTGGACGAAAAATCAAAAATAATCCAAAAATGCCCCCAAATAGCCAAAAATTAATAGAAAAATCGTACCCAGACTATTGTTTGACAATTTTTGACTATTTCTCCTGTAGAGGGACACGCCCGAATGCTATACCTGACACGGGCCACAGGCAGCTGTGCCGCCGCGGTCGAGACCACAATGTTCCTAGGAATCGGGGGCGTCCAAGAGGGGGGCGTCCAAGAAGGGGGGGGGCGCAAATCATGGCCAGCGGCATTGCGCGGCCAGGACCGCCCGCCGGCTGCTCATCGTCGAATTCTTCGGCGTCTGAGCGTCCCTCCTTCCTATCGTCGGCCTCCCCCGTCCCTCCATGCACGCCGGCCAAATCGCTAGTTGGTGCCCCTACCTAGCTGTTACGCTGGTGCGGATTTCGCCGCCTCGCCGCCTACGAAAAAGGTGCGCGTCCGGGAGGGGCCGGGGACGTATTGAAACAGGAAGAGGCGCCATGAAATCTGGGGAGATGTCCTGCCCCCCCCATGCTGACCCCCCCCCATGCTGACCCCCCATGCTGACCCCCCCCCCCCATGCTGACCCCCCATGCTGACCCCCCCATGCTGACCCCCCCGTGCTGACCCCCCATGCTGACCCCCCCCATGCTTGAAACAGGGAGAGGCCCCCCCATGCTGACCCCCCCCCCCCCCTGGTCATCACCCCTCTCTTGTGCCGCCCCGGGAAGCCGAGGTCGCAGCAGTTTTGTTGCCAGCACCCGGCCCTCGCAGTCCCGACCCCTTCCCCGCGGGGCCGCCTTCTCGTCCCTTGGCCGTTTTTTCTGCTGTTTTGTTGACCAGGGCTCGAGCTAAACAGGTTTTTCCGTTTGGCTGTTATTGCCGTTTTCCCTGGGTTTGTCTTCGATCTGCAGCACACAGAATCAAGACGAAAAGGGTCCACGAAATCGCGGTGTGCCTTCGTTCCGCCTTTGCTGCAGCACAAAATCAAAACGAAGACGGTCCACGAAATCGACAAAACACCGTTTTGTTCGAGCCCTGGTTTTGACGGTCTGCGTGCCGAGAAACGGCGCGGGGGCGCCGAACCAAGAAGCAGCAGCTGAGTCCAAAGACAACCAGCATGAGTGCCATTCCTGAGTGCAGCAGCTATGGGCCCAACACAGAACGCAAGGAGCGCATCCATGTCACTTTGCTTTCGCACATGAACTTAAGACGCGTCCCTTGACTCGACCTGCCACGCACGAAGTGGGAGGCTTGTGCACGCCCCTACTCTCAGACCAAGCCCGCATGCCGAACGGGCAGGTAGCACGTGGCAGCAAACGCAAGAACACACTCAAAGCTAGCCTGAATCGCCGAATCAAGCTCACACCTCTGTTCGGAGACGTACTTTCGGCGGCCTCACGGGGCACCACTGCCGTAGTTGGTCGGATGCCCGCGCGAGGGAACCTGCGATGCGCGGTGGCGGATTCGGGTTGACCACTCCCTGGTCTTGTGCTTTCTAGCTAGCTAAACATCTAGGAAGAAACGAGAGGAAAGGGGTCTGACAATGATGCGCCAGCGCGACGACGCACTTGCCGAACGAGACCTTCAGGCCCCACCCAAGCACCCCCCGCCTCAGGTCTCGCAGCAGGCCCCGCTCTTGAACGAGTTCTACAACATCAAGCTGAGCCTCCCGGGAGGGAAGAGGATGACCAAAAGGAAGGCAGTGATGGCAGAGAGGGACGAGGAGTAGGAGGAGAACGAGGAGCACCAGGACATACATATATATATATACAGAGAGAGAGAGAGAGAAAAACAAAAAAAAAAAAAAAAAAACTAGTGGGGGGAAAAAAAACGGAGGGGGGGGGGGGAAAGAAAACAAAAAAAAAAAAAAAAAAAAAAACGATACAGAGCGAGAGGGAAAGAGAGAGAGAGAGAGAGAAAGAGAACAGAAAAGAAAATCATGGCGAAGGACCCAACCACATGCAAGCGTGAGTACCGCGAGGCAGGTGGGCCGAAGGAGGGGGATCCCCCTACAGGGCTACGAAACTGGTGACGGTGCGCCGAATTTGCGGAGAAAGCTTAATTTGAAGGGGGTCGGGAGGCCCAACCAGATGCTTCGCATCAGACGAAGACCGTATCCAACTCTGCTATACCGTAGTAACGATAGTCCCAAGAGCGGGGAAGAGTCGCGGGAGCGACAAGCCATGTCAAGCGAAGATACGTTAGGTCCCAATGGCAAATAGTGCGCCTCGCGATGAGGCACGAACATACGTCGGCGGCCGGCCGCTTGAGAACAAGCGGCCGCGGACAAACCCTCGCTACCTCTCGCCTTTGCCCGGCCTCCTTTAGTCGGGGGGGGAGGAGACGAAGCCCGAGTCCGCCCCCAGCTATACAGCAAAACACTGTATTACGCAAGGTAGGCATCAGCAGGCGGGCTCAACAAAGGCAGGCTGGCCCGCATGCAAGTTACCTTGCAGGCAAGTTACCTCTTATATAACTACTCCTCAGGCGGCTCAAATGATCTTGTCTGGCCAGCCCAGTAGGCAGTGTGTCGGACTAAGTATTGCGCTCCTCCCATGACCTGTAGGCGCATGTCTGTGTCGATGCTCCTCTTAGTGTGGCCATCCGCAGTCATATCGCGAGTGTCACACCAATGCACAACGTGCACGATACCTCGGTCCATCCTTTGTTGTATCCAACTGATGCGCCCTCGAAGTTCACATAGAGTCGGCATCTTCTGGCCTTTGCTTGACCAGGATTTGAAGACAAATGCTGCATCGATGGTTTAGGTAAGTTTAGGTGGCCTTCATGCTCAAGCCGCCCTCCCGAAGTATATCCGTTAGTTGAGTGGTTGTCATCGGCCCTGCGTGGAGTTCGTGCAGAGTGACGATCGCGGGATAGCAATCCGCCATGTTGCGGGCCGCCGCAAGTGTTTCCGCTTAGTAGCTCGAGCGGACCTGCCAGCGACGATGAGACTTGCAGCACGCGTCGACAAGATGGACGACGGGCTTACCAGCATGCGCGCGCCCACGCCTTAGCAGGCCTTCGAATACCAGAGCCTTTGACTTCGTCATCGGCATCTCCAGTCAGACGGCGGTAGCCTGAGTCGCCGTGCAGGTCGACCTCGCCAGTTGGAGTCATCGCTTGATAGACAATTGTGGGAAGCACAAATACATACTAGTACTATATGTCCTCCTTGGAGGCGCGCGTCCGACCCGAACATATAGTATACCCATCTTGTAGTATATCGTTTCCCGAGCGGTGTGGCCAGAAAGCGCCCCCCACGACGCATATACTATAAGATTTCTCGGTGCGCGCGTCGCCTCCGGGGGGGCGAAGCACATATAGTATAAGTATGTCAGGGTGATGCCGAAATTGGGGCAGGCCTGCAACTCCCTGGAAATCGCGCTCAGTCGCCGCACTTGCACGTTGGTCGGTTCTTGAAAACGAGGTAGCGATAGAATGCTACCAGAGAAACACCCAAGCATAATCTTTTTAGGCCTGTAGGGCTATAGGGCTACAGGGCTATATGGGCTCTTGGGCGCTATATGCTATATGGGCTATATGGTTATATACGGCTACGGGGGTTATTGGGCCATAGGGCTATAGGGCGAAAGGGATATAAGGCTATAAGGCTATAGGGCTACAGGGCACCGGGCACCCGGGCACCCGGCACCCGGCACCCGGGCACCCACCCGGGCACTGGGCGCCCGTCACCCGGGCACCCGGGCACCCGGGCATCCGGGCACCCGGGCCCGGCCACCGAATCGGCGGCGAACCCGGGCACCCCGGCACCCGGGCACCGAATCGGCGGCACACCTCACCTACCCATAAATCCGCTAGGACCCCTACAGAGGCAAGCTCTGATTGAGGAACCTATACCAGTAGACAAACTTGGGTCATCAGGGCGCAAGCCAAAGCGCCTCTGAGGCTGACAAACATGACGGTAGCCATCTTCGACGCCTCGGCCCCAGCATCTGCGCCCGTGAGTTCGTGGTGCTGGATAGGACGGAGCTGTTTTATGGATTCGCCTTGATCAAATGTAACATTACCGTCGCCGTCCTTTGCGTATCTCACGGCGCAATTGGTATATGTTTCTTTGTTGAATTTACATTTACCAAACTTATCCTGAACACACTTGACGCACTTGTCAAAGGTGTTCCCAGCACCGGCGATATTGATGCCATCAACATGCTCGGCCGTGGAAAGGCCAGCATGTTGCCTCGAACTCCTCGTCGCGGGACGCGGGTTTGAGACCACCACCCCCCCCCCGTGGTCTTCCTGAGCTTCAGTGAGAAGGCTCATGGTGCATCCTCGGTGCCATTATCTGGTTTAAGGCACTGTAAAAAATGTCTCGACTCACAATAATTCTGGAAGCCTGGAAGGATCTGAACAAAGATGCTGAACCAGGTGGCAATGTGAAGCACGCCACACGTTCCTTGTCATCAGTTGCTTCAGCAAGCCCCCGATAAGTAAGTCAATCCAGGAAAGCCATGTTGATGTCGAGGGAAGCAATGACCCACTGCTTCATGCACGCTGCCGCGCTGGCGAGTAGTCGTTGACTCGACCGCTTCGCCGCCCCTGAGAACGTCTCCACATCGAAGGCTTCGAAGCCCATGAAGCCCCGAAGTACCAAGCCTAGTCATGGTATGTTCCATCTCGCCCTTTCGTTCTTCACGAACGTCAGTGTGCGTGCGCACCTCGAAGTCATGATGTTTGACGTGTTGGGAATATCTTGCACGTTGAAACAGTTGTTGCCAAACCATGTCTTGAATTGAGTGTGTAGGGCCTTCGACACTTCGACTGGATTCGCCCGGATATCAGCTTTCGTGAGAAGGTCGTCCACCTTGCCGACCACAGCTCGTTTAGCTGCAACGGTCACATAGACTCGCATAGCGGTCACGCGGTCGAAATCCAGTATCCGACGCCGTTGCTCGGATGAGACAACCTTTGGCATGTCTGCCGGAAAGCAAAGTTCTACGAATCATCCGTGCTCGTCAGAATCCAAGCCGCGGCCGTCATCTTCGCCCGTGGAACACAATGGGACATGATATGTCTCGGTTGTGTCTGTCCTGTGGGTTGCCCCGCGCCGGCAGGTGCCCCCGCTGCCCTTCGGGCACTGTGACCAGCACGCGGTTGTCAGTGATCATATGCGCGGATACAGTGTAGAGCTCGCGTATTGGAGTTGCCTCCAATAGTTCCCTTTCGTCATGTAGTTCTGCGCACAACACGTCCATAATGCGTGCCTCGAAGCCCGCCTCTGATTCCCCATGGGCGGCGGGAAGCCGCCCGTCTTCCTGCGGCGGTTCGATTTCTGGGGCCTCCACGGCGCCGTTGCCTTCTATTGCCATGTCGGCCTGTTCTTCGACATGCATCATGTCTCGATCGAAGCCTGCTTGAGGTTTGATGGGCTTGAGGCACTAGATGTTTCTTGAGCGTGCTGGTCCAGAAATATATTAAATAGTTCGGGCAGCGCCTTCGGCTTCGTAGTAATGGAAGCAGGGGCCCACGTCGTTGTCATAGCGCACCAGTGTACAACTGCCAGCATACGTCACAGGAGGTAGCCTGTGAATGCTCTTGGCCAACCTGACAGAAACTACGTTTCCAATGCGAAAAATGCCCCTGATGAGGCACTGAAGAGCTAAGTGTACCTTAGGGGAGTGCGGGCTCGCACTCGTCATCTGGAATGCTCCTCAAAATGGTCGGGGGGCATCCAAAAGTCACGGCAGGTCGCCCCGCTAGTAAACTGGCGAAAAATACCAAAACAGTCCGCGCTGCTGCGTCGTCCGAGCCAATCTCCCGCGCCGCCAGAGCTTCAATGCACAGTGAACGTCGTGCGTCACCGCACTGAACTCGCACACTGCGGTTCCCAACTCCCATGATGGTCCGACCCCTGTCGGGATCGTTCCGCGCGACTGGGCAGGGCCCCAACCCAGTCAGCCCAGTCGTCTTTCGTTGTGGCGGGGCGATGATAGTCGACCAGATCTCCTTCGTCAGAATAATGCTGACCAGCGATAATCGTCTTAGTCCGTAGTGCACGGTTCGCCTTAGCTGCTGCAGTGGCTTGGATGATAGCCCCACGGCATACTCGGCGGAAAATCTTTTCTCGAAAATGATCGGACGGCTCCGTTTGCCGTTCGTGGTCCAGAACAGGCAAGTCGGGCAACATCGCCGGTTGTCGGCCGAACAGCGCGCTGCGTGGAGATACCGCATCATAGCATGCAATAGACGGGTAAAAACAAGTGGTACGTCTAACCTGTTGAGTTCAACCTCCATGACGTGAAGTGGGCGCTGTAATATACCACTCATGGTTTCCATGGTCGTAGCGCGTTGCCCACGCACACGCACCCCCAACTCAATGCCCTCTGCCCTACGGACTGCCTTTGCGGAGTCGTCATTGAGCGCGCCTTCCCCGTCAGACCAAAAGAACTCTGGCAGGTCCAAATTGCATCCAGCACAGATGGTACGCGTCTAAGATGCTGGTCATGGTTTTGTCGGGTATCTCAATTCCAGCACCGCATCGAATGCGGCGATCGATTACATGAAATATAATGTGTTCCTGTTTGTAGAACATCAGGTCGCATTGGAGTTCACATTAAACTTGCCAGGGATTGCAGTAGACAACATGGCAAGATGCCCAAGCTTTTACCAAGCCCTGCACCCCCGGCAACTGTCACAGACGCCTTT